AACTGGGTTCTAAGCATAACCTCGTTATCCGGAGCATTCAACGGTACAACAAGAGCCTATTTAGATGGAATGCAGTGAGTATATTTCGATTATCGTCAAATCGGATTTATCTTGGTTTCTCGTATCTTTGATTCTATTGGTATTGTTCAACACAGGCCAGAAGACGGAATGTCACTTAAGCCCCTGTGTCTACTCCAACTATGCCGAGTTGGAGTAATTCTTTATGATTGGTTTGATGGACAATGGCTGAAATCCTATTACAATTTCGGATTCGACCATTTCAATATGTCTAGAAAGAAAATCGGAATTTGGGGCCTCGTTAATTGCCTCGTGGGTAGGAGCGGCCCGTTTGCATCGGGTGATTGGATTCTTCCGGATCTTACTATCCAAGGCTCCATGAGATTGAACAGCCATATTCAGACATTTCCAGATACGTATTATTTCAGTTACGCCACTAAACGTACTCGGAAAATAATGGGTGTCACGATCCCTTCCGGCTTACTCGGAATCCACCCTTTGCTGTTTATTCGAGTTCTTCAGATGAGTCAATGGAGTCACCCTCCCGACGTTTCTCCTCCTTATAAAGGCTATCGGTTAGTGTGTGTGTGTGTTTTTTTTTTTTTTTTTTTTTTTTTTTGTGTGTTTGCCCGTTTCGACGATTTAATTATATTTGAATTGTTGAGTGGTTTAAAATAGTTGGTACAAATTTACAGGGATGAAGATTGGTGGGACAATGATGGAGCGCTGAACACGATATCTATGACGCACCCTCGTTTTCCGACGGAGCATCCTAGTCATTTAGTTGTTAATGATTCGGAATGTCAACCTTTACAACCAGGCATCTGGTTCGTGCCCTTTCCCTCTATTATTTTTTAAGACAAGTATTCTGTGTATGTATATATAAATTTCACTATAAATTGTCGGTTTTGATTCAGAAATTTGCAAGATATATTCGTTAATGTAGAATCGATATTTAATCCGACAGGTATTACAAAATTGTGGACGGTGATCACATACTTTTCATAGTGAATCGAGAGAGAGCTGGAGTACAATTCGATCTGATATACGACAGTATATTCGAAAGATGCAGAAAACACGCGTTTAGAAAGACTCCAACAATGCCTAACCAAGTTCACCAATAGTTCGCAAAAAATGGGTAGTAAAATAGTGAGACTTTCCCATGTCTCGTTTTCGTTTTTTTTTTTTTGAACTTTCGATTATTGAGTTGTGGGCGTTGCCCTCGTGGATGGAAAATGCAAATGCTCGATCGCTTCTTTCAGATTGTATATTTACTTTCACTTGTAATATGTTTAGGCCTTTCGGATACTGCCACGGAACACGCAGAGTTGTATTCTTGAAAAAAATGAAAAGAATTATAGAAAATTTCTTATAAATTATTTTTTTTTTTAAATTTTTTTATGTGAAATAATTGATATCTTTATTCAGTGTCATTAGTAAAATGATTTACATATATTATTTATAAATTATGTGTTGAATAAGTGGTTAACTTTCATCTAGAAAAGCCAATATCTTGAAGAAGAGAAACCAAAAAAATAAATATAAAAAAGAAAAAAATAAATTAAAAAAATCAACTGACATTAGTTTTTGTCCTCTACATACATGCGCAAACACTCAATAAAAAACTTGCATTTTCTTTAAAAAAAAAAAAAAAAAAAAAAAAAAAAAAAACAAGGTAAGCAAATGAATATTGTATGATTAAAAACTATTACAAATACCAATGATACAAACGACAAAAGCATCGAGTCTGAGATGAGAATGATTTGTTCTAGAATACGGCACATCGGTGTTAATCTGAGTTTGTGGTTTAAAGCAGCGAAAATCAAATAAGTCTTAACTCATATTCACCGGCCATTGTTATATATCTCACCCATGGAAGAGCTTGATACCCACTCTTTTCGATGATTTTCAAGTAACGAACCTGCAAAAGCAAGAATCGAGAATAAAATGGTAAGGTCAATTACGACCTATTTGCTGCATAGAAGTGAACGAGCAAATTTTAGCAGTAGAGTGGTGCAGAATCAAGAATGATAACATCTATTTAAAAGAAAAAAAGTTCTGCAAATATAAATTTATTCGAGGCTCGCCTGTATTCCTGAAACAGTGAAATACGGTATTTCGAACTTCACTCTTATTGGAGCCTTTCTCTCCGGAGTTGATTCCTCCGATGTTATACTGGGAAGCCGGAACTCTGCTCTTAGCATATATTCCTGAAGAAAACAAAAAAAGCCGATAAATATCACAGAACACCAATAAATAACATATAAAAAAATATATACCTAATTTGACTTGAATTTAGAAGTTCCAAGTAGAGTAGTAATCAATATCTTTCATTCATATGATTCGACTATGGAAGTTCTCGAGTTACAAAAAAAAAGACAATTCCTACCTTGCCACCTGGAAAAGATTTTATTTTCCAAACTAATGAATCGGATTCTGGAGCATAGGCAGCCGACCCCATTGATGTACGGACATTTGGATTGGTAGCATCGGCTGGCACGGGCAACTCGATTTCGACATTAGTTGCAGTGCTGAAAGTTCAAAATCAACTCACCCGTCAAATTAGAGATCCATAAATATAATGCCAGAGAGATTCAAAAATAAATAAATATTAAATACTGATAACAGATGCATCTAACATACCTACGTTCCTTGAACTGGCTCCTAGCTTTTACTGTAATTTCTATGCGGCTTTTAGAATGCCTTTCTACCTGAGCTTCCACCCATATTAGAGGCTTTACCTGAAATAAAATACTAACATTTAACTGAATGATCTAAGCAACTAAGAAAATCTTGGTTCTGGTTTGAACTAGATTTTGCCGGTAAAAAATAAATTGCATATGGTTTCACACTTTGAAGGATATATTATACTCGGAAATTGGAAAAGTTGTCTATGGAAAAAGGGCATATGTTTACATCCCAAATTTGCAAACGCACCTGAGTGCTGAGTCTGTAAGTCATGAGATCAAAAGATCCATCAGGGGGTACGAAGGATATTGTTCTGTCATTTTCAAATCGAGCCAATCGGACACACCTGAACCAATAACCATAAGTCAAGACAATAAAGATGTGTGAAGCCAAGCCAATAAACACAATCACAAGCAAGTATGCGCAAAGACACGTCTCGATATTTTTAGAGAAATATTTCATTCAGAAACATACTTTCTTATTAGTGAAAACGAGAGGTCAACAGACAACAGTCACGTATGGAACAAAATAAGAAAGACGAATACATACTGATGAAACTTGATATCATCTAGATCGATGGATTTTCCTTTAGTAGCTCGCCCTTGTGCCTCGAGCAAAACTCTATCATTAAGCCCCAGCTTGCACTCCGGCATACCACTGCGATGGATACAGAATTATTAAGGAAAGCTAAGATAAAAAATTATAAACACATCGCAAACTGCAAGAGTTAAAGCAAATTCCAAATATCACCACCTTCAGCTAGGTTTTGACTTAGATTGCAATTAAAAAGCATATAAGGTAAACTATGTCATATGAACAATATGTTTACAATTCTGCACAAAACATATTTGAAATCAGAACCAAGGGGCGCGTGTTTTTGTGCACCTAATAATATATCGTCAACCATAAGGGGAACAATAGACAATCATAGATACTGAGAATAGAAACGTTGATTTACAATTTACATTTTTGACGTGCAACTATTAACTACAACGTCTAGAGAATAAGACAAAACAGAAAATTCCTTACAAGATTATCCCTTGTTTAACAGAATATAATGCAGGAAATAGTAAAAGCGATGAGAACAGACCTCAAGTATGTCCGCATCTTTAGAGCCCCAACAACGTCTGACCTAATTATTTGGCCATTACTATTGACTAGTATATTTACACTCTCAACAACATCGAGAAACACCTGGACAACCAAGAAAAGCACATAAAATCTAGTGGTTAAGAAATACATTACATGGCAAGCTAGGAAAAAAACTTACTTCATTCTTTTTGTAACGTATCCCTTCGCTGCGCCATGACACTGCATTTGTAACAGCCATTGGAGGCCTCTGTGTCACTTCCATTCTGTAAGCATCAGTCTTTATGAACTCACTAAGAATCTTTGCTTCAGTAAATTGTGGATAGCCAAAGTCCATAATTTCGTCGAGTAACTCGTACTAATGATGCCAAACGTCAGTTATTAAATACTGCTATCGAATTGTTCTATAGTCAGTTCAAACAAAAGGGGGCAACAAAATTCTCTTACCACTACGACAAAATTATCTCTGAGTGATTCCTCTTCTAGCTCTTCAAAGTAATGTTTAAACACCTGTTAAAAAAATACAAACAAGCAATGAAAGAAATTCAAAGGAACGGTGCATTGGATTATAGACCAATATCCTTAAAGCATGGGCCTTTGATTACCAATAGCGCTTACATCAACTACTCGGTGTAGGAATAAAAGAAGGCTAGCAGCATTGCAGTTCTGCCGCGACGCAGTCATGAGATACACATTGTTGTGTTGTATAAACATATACGTGACACCATTGTCATATACAACAGGATCTTGAGTCTCGGGATCACCCTACATCATTGTACAGTGGAAATCCATTAGTTGTCTAGTTCTTCATCTAAGCCCAAGATTTCAAAGGGAAAAAAAAAACACTAAATGACTAACAATTAAAAATAATACACTAAGCTCAGAGGAAAAAAGTAAATTAGACGACGAGTTATTAGTTGTTGTCATATAAAATTCAATTACCATATCGATGAATATATCTTCCTTAAATATAGAAGTTTCGTAGAAGGACGGTATCTTGCAAAATATACTAATGATGATAATTATGCGACGCATGCCCATTCATAACTAGCATCAAACAGTTCGAGGGTTCAATTACATCTAGCTATTTTCCCATAGCAAACGATAATCACCTTGAACCAATTTACTTATGATAGATGATGAACTAAATTTCAATTCCTTTCCCTCTTATTTGATTGGTTAATTTTCTTCTTCCAAAGGCAAATATATTAAACAAGAGCAACATTAAAGATTCAATTTCATCAAGTAAGTTCAACTGTAGATATGAAATCTGCATCTAACAAATTAACTCAATTAAATTACAAACCAAAAAGCTAAAATCATCAAACTAAATCAATCACGAGACAGAAGACTAGATCAAGATTGAAATTTGCAGCAACAAAAAAAAACACTAATCGTAGTTGACAATTTAAAACATCTTCTAGTGAGCAAATGTCATTGCGAAGCAGTAGAGAGAGAGAGAGAGCATGAACAAAAATCACAAAGGAAAAAATCTCACATCTTTCTCGATGAGTTTGGTGAAGAAGCGTTCGGCTTGTGCGGAGGAGACGTCCCCACGGTAATCTCGCCACACCAGAACCTTACCCTTAATATCCAGTAGGAACAGCGCCGACGCTGCTCCCGCCATTTCCCCCCCTCTGTGAAGTAATTGATTGTCAAATTCACTCCGATTCAATTGAACACGGAGCTCATAGATCACGAGCTGACAGAATTAACGGCTTGGCGACGAGATCTAGGGTTGATTCGGTAATTATATTGAAATCCAGGGGTGAAGGTGAACCAGCATCATTTCATTTCCATCACACTGCCATTAGAGAGAGAGAGAGAGAGAGAGAGATTGAGAGAGAATATTTACTGTTCGCTTCCTTCAACTGAAAAAAAAAATTAAAAAAAAATTTGACAGAAGCTTGAAATTTTCTGTAGATCGGGCCCACCATTTTATATGGGCCTAATAATCTGAAGGCCCAATAATACTTGGACTTTGTCGGGCTATAAAATAATATTTTTTTGCTGACGTGGATATTCATAACAAGGGTAATTACAACCACCCCTGAGGTATGGTGAAATTACGAAAAATTCCCTATTGTTTGGATAATTACAACGACCCCCTCAACTATAAATCTTCTTACACGTCCACCCTTGTAGTTTCAAATTTAGTGGAATCTTCTAAATTATATAGAATATTCTCAATTTTGTACATGTTTTATCCCATTCGAGACCCACATTATGAAGCAAGATGATCATAAGATGTGTTTTTTGTCATTATATATCAGATTGTCGTGCATCAGAAACTATATTTTTTCACAAAACGAGTTCAAACGAGAGAACGTTCCACGGAATCTGGAAGATTGTGTTGAATTTGACACCATAACGGTAGAGATGTAAGAATATTCATAATTGTGGGGTAGATGTAAATATCCAAATATGAGAGGTTTTTTCGTACTGTGACTATACATCAAGGGTTAGATTGTAATTTACCATTAAAACAAATATATAAATTTCACATAATCCTGATTAGTGACCTTCATCCTCCTCACCTATGATTAATGGCAACCAGTCTTTTTCTCCGGCCATTTTGAACCAGTCAATACCTAACGCACCGCCCTATATAAACCTCCACAAAACTGCCGGAAAAAAACCAAACAATCACAAAAATTTGAAGGTATGGCAGCCGGAGGAGGAATCGCCGCAGTAACATTCCTTTCCTGCGCAATCCTCCTCCTCCCTCTGGTGGCCGCCGCACTCCTCCCGGAAAACAACAACTCCGGCCAGGAAAATGGCCGGAAATTACGGATTATAAATCCGTTTTACTTGGAACCTGAGATGAACGCAACTTCCTCGCCGCCGCCGGGGCAGGTGGATCCGATCCTTGTACCCGAACCCGTAGGCCCGCCGGAGTATGGATCCGAAATGCCCGAACCCGGACAAGGTCCGACCCTAATAGAAGGGTTCTACGGGCGGAGCTGCCCGCGGGCAGAGATGATTGTGAATCAGACAATTAATGAGTATTTCAGCAAAGATCCCACTCTTGCTCCCGCCTACGTTCGCCTCTTTTTGCATGATTGTTTAGTCAACGTAAGCTAAGCTCCTCCGTTTTCCCCGGAAATTGGAACATAAATTCTCAATTTCCACCGATTCTGAATCCAATTTTTTTAATTATATTTTTCATTCCGAATCCGAATTTCCATCTTCCAATTTTTTCCAACTTTTTTAAATCATAATTGGAATATATACCATATTTCGATTTTAAATTCTGAAATTTTATAATATTACTATTATGTTTCATTTTAGTTGACCCAAAATCCGAAATTACAATTTAATTATTCAATTTGTTTTTTTTTCTAATCCACGGAATTGAAATTAGTTTTTCACTTAAAAAACTAGGTTTTTAAGCCTAAGGTGCTAATTAAGATCCATCGGTCCAAATCCGAATAAAAAAAATTCGGAATTGGAATTATATTTTCATTTCAAAAGCTATTATTTTACGAAAATTACACAAATGTCAATATTACTATGTATTTTATATTTTAGGTGACTAAAGAAATTGAATTCCCGAAGCCCGGGATCGGAAAATTTCCAATCCGAAACAAGTTTTTTCGATTTTCTGAATTAGTTTTTCATTTCCGAAAGAAATTGGAATTTCCGATCCAATTTTAGGCGCCAACTAACTATTCAACTATAACCGCAGGGCTGCGATGCTTCTATCCTATTGGACGAAACTCCCTCAGGCGAAGATGTGGAGAAGAAAGCTCCCCACAACGGCAAATTCGTAAGAGGATTCGAAGCCATCGACGAAATAAAATCCCAGCTCGAAGCCGAGTGTCCAGGCGTAGTATCCTGTGCCGACATACTAGCCTACACAAACCGCGACGCCCTAGTCTACACAGGGGTCCCACCCTACCAAGTAGCCGCAGGCAGAAGAGACGGGCTAGTTTCCTTAGCCAAAAACGTGGAGCACAACATCCCACTCCCAGACGCACCTGCCGAACACATGGTCAAGCTCTTTGCTCGAAAAGGGCTCTCATTGGAGGAGCTCGTTGTGCTCACCGGTGCGCATTCCATAGGATCGGCCCACTGCAGCATCGTGAGTGGTCGGTTCTTCGATCCGAGAAAAACTGCGGATATTGACCCTGGGTACCTGATAAAGATGAGGAGTCTGACTTTCTGCGAGGATGACAGCCAGGATTTGCCGTTCGATCCTTACTCGCAGCAGAAAATGGACTCGAGATTCTACAAAGAGCTGTTGGCTAAGAAGGCTTTGCTTGAGTCGGATCAGAATCTGGCGAACGAGCCTCGTGGGAATGCCGTTATGAAAAGATATGTCGGCGACCAGCAAGGGTGGTTGAAGAAGTTCACTAGCTCCATCAAGAAAGTCGGGGAGATGGATGTGCTCACTGGTGATCGGGGAGAAATTAGGCGACAGTGCAGATTTGTTAACTGAAAATTATTCGGTTCGATGATTTTTGTGTAGAATTTCAAACTTTTCATCTGTCTAAATTCCATTCAACAGAATATATATGCAGAGGAAAAGAAAAAAGGCAATTCTTGATTTATAAAAAAATTACCATTTCCAGTGGATTTGACCAGTAAAACAATAAAAGAGGGAGAGATTGTTTGTGGAAGCTATGAAGGACAGTGCATTTACAAACTTGTTACAGTCGGGTTAGCTTTGGGGGGCTTCCGTTTAGGAATTTACAGCATCTCTACATCTCCCAATTCACTGACGATGTTCTCTACGTTAGCCAATAACTCTGAAATATAAAGAAAATCAAGGTATTCGTTAGAGAAAAAAGAACAAAAGAAAAAACCAACGACTCAGCTATTCGATTATTTCAAAAACAAGAGAATTATTTACTACCTGTGAAAGAAGTTTCCTCGAGATATCGCTGCATAAAAACAGATTAAACGAAAATTAGAAGCAATATAAACAAGATCTAGCATGTTGCGCCTCTGTCAGTAAGTAAACAATATCCTACGAAATCGTGCTAAAAAGAGAGCAATTGATAGTACAAAATCAAGATAGAGGCTCTACCATAAATTGGGATGTAAGATCTTCTGCAGGTTCTTTTGGCTTTACTGCAAGCAGATCTAAGGTTAAAATAAACCGTTTTGATAAAATATGATAGATAAGGCGGAAAAAAAAACCTTGAGAAACTTCAGGGTGACAGTTCTTCAGCAACTGTGTGAAACTGGGAGGGAATGCTGACATAGCCTCTGAATCTTCGTAATCTTCTATCATTTCGTGTGATGATGAATACTGAATTAGATAAGGTTCAGGGCTTGGAATTATCGGTTGGGTGCTATGGTCTACTGATGTTGTGGACTGCAAATCCCCCTCAATTCTGTAAACAAAGTAAGAAGCCTACTGTCAGATTTCGTTTTAATCGTTGCATTCAAATTTTTCGCTTTGTTCACAATCAGTGTGACGTTAAGAAAAGGATTTCTTGCTGCTCACCTGTAAGTAGGTCCATCAGAAGATATGACTTCTGCTTCAGATGACAATACACAGTTATATTCAGGGCATTCAAGAAGCGGACGATTTCCGTTTTCCAAGATTTCCTGAGCAAATATTTATTTAGAAATACAACGGATTACAATACCGAGTAACTGAATTCCAATATCATTATTAGTAATGTAATCACCTTCACAAGATTCATGAACTTTTCTGCTTCATAGATATCAGAAAACCGCAAGGCAAATTTCTGTTTCTGCGAAGAGGCAAAAACTCGGGTTTTCAAGATAAATCCAAATTGATCATTTAAAAATTTATAGACAGAGTTATACTAAATTCAATTAGCACTATGCATGCCTTCATTTCAAACGAAGAAAGGCACCAACAGTTAGAGAACAGATACTCTCATCTTTAGTTATAACTTATAATCCTTTATATCTACATCTCCATTCTTTAACTACCACATTTTACTGTTTTAAGTTGGTTATGGAAGCATCTTCATTCAAATACGTACAGAAAAAAACAATAACGAGTTAAAAAAAATCCTTAGCTGCTTGCCTGGCCAACACCATCTTTATAGCTCACCAAAACAACTTTGCTCCCCTTTGCAGGAAATCCAGACACGCATGATACTTGCGGCCATGAGAAACACACCCTGGAGATGTAATGCTCCTCCTGTAAAATCCAATTGAAAATTGCATGATAATACAGACAGACTTTAAGAAAATAGGCAAAAATGGATGAATATTTCATGCTGAAGCAGGATTAACATAATATCACATCTAGTAAATCAAAGGAAGTATTGTTTAGCTGTCGTTTGGCAGAGATTAGCTTCTCAAAACCACTAGATATCATAACAGCATGAAAATTTACTGTATCTGCAAATATGCAGAACAATATAGAACAGCATAACTTCATCTATTTCGGGCATGAATCAAGGTACATCAACAGAAGCACAAGGTACAACACGGTATAGGTATTTTCTACAAATCAGAAAACCAGGGAATCGATTCATATGATTCAAGCACCATGATCGATCTACAAATCAGAAAACCAAGTAATTTTTATGATGTTCTACCAAAAATTAAAAACACCAGGCGTTCGTTGGTTCGTTCGTTCGATCTGATTTCCAAACTTACAAGGACTCGAGATCGGAGAGAGATGACGATGGATGCATCGTACAATCCATTGAAGGATTGTTGATAGTTGAGTTTGAGGGAGGCGGCGGCGGCGGATATCCAGATGCCACGGCCGAGCCGTATTTTGGGGATCGCCAGAGAAGGATGAGTGAGCCTAACAGTGGAGGAGCTGAAATTGACGAAGCGCCCGTATTGAACTTCCCATTGATCGATTGTTGCAGATATCTGAGGATTCTGGGCGGGGTTTTCTGACTCCGATTTGTTCGTGGAAATTGCTAGCTCCGATCCCGCCATTTTCGAATTTATGAAAATCGATTTTTCTTTTCGTCTGGGTATTTTTTGTAGAAGGAAAGTGAAAATTGAAGAGGCGGTTTTTATAGTACGAGAGTCGCGTTTAGCATCTTGCTGTTGAAACTTGAAAAGACGAAGAGTCGCGTTTCAACGGCATGTTTTATTTTTCTTTGGGGAAATTACAATCTGCACCCCTAAAGTTTTTACTAATTTCATATTTGGTCCCCTATGTTCACACCAAATACATTTAGTCCCTCATGTTCCAGTAATTTAACATTTTTGGTCATCTCCATCAATTTCACTGTTAGTCTATTATTTAAGGCAGTGATGAACGCACCCTTGATTCCGTTAGCTTTTGCGAAAAATTGATACAAATGACTAAAAGTGTTGAATTTTTAAAATACGAGGGATTAAATATCAAATCGGTGAACTTGAGGGGCAAAAACTGTATTTTCTTTTGTAAAAAATAAGTAAACAGAGCACATCTTCAACACACTGCACTTCTCTGCATCACCATTTTCCGGCGACCTCCCCAAAGCAAATCCACCACCTCCTCCTCCGCCACCACCACCGCCACCATTGAAAATGAAAGCGTTATTCAATTCAGAAAAATTCCTATCGCCAATTCCACCACTCAAAGTCAAACCTGGAATTCCCCATCCAAAAACGTTCCTCCAATTTCCCCGCGCACTTGCAAAACGCAGTCGTTTAGTCAAATCTGTACTTGATTCAGCTGCCGTCGATGAGTTGTCCGGTATCCGAAATCCATCTGTTTCGACGTCGTATCGGAACCCGAGGCTTTCGAGGCCCAACCAGACTGTTCTGGATGCACAAACGAAGGTCTGCACGGGGCCCACTCAGACCAAACCTCTTAATGCCGAACAAGCTTTCAAAGTACTTGACACCATTTTAAAATCAGGTTTCCTTTTATTTTAATTTATTTATTTTTCTGTATTTTGAGCTGACTTGCTAAATTTAGAAGATAAATTAGGAACACAAATTTGCTTTCAACTTGAATCAGTTCAACAGGTGGAAAATAAAATCATAGTTAGTCAATCACTCTGAATTCTGATCCAGCTGAATCGCCTGATTATATCATACAATTTAGTCGATGTTGAAATAAAATCGTAATCGATTAATGTATTACTATATATATGTTAAACGCAGTTAAGGGAGAGCTCAAAGATGATGAAGAAGTATCCAATGCACAGCTCGGGGCGTTTTTTGCTGCAATGACGATCCGAGCAAATGCGTTTCCGGAGCCGACTCAATGGAGCGAGGGTGAAAGGAAAGCAATGACTTATTATTGGCCGCACTTAGTAAGATTCTTACCTCCAGATGTAATATTTTTAGCTGATCCTGAACAATCAATTATGGGAATGAGTAGTTCGATTGGCCCTCGATTTATCGGTAATGGAACTTCCGAAATGAGACTTGTGGGGGCCCTTAGGGAGGTTTTGGCCGGGGGCCACTTAGGGTACGAGGAAGTTCAGGGTGTTTTGAGAGATGTACTTCCTTTAAATTTAGAAGACAAGAAATCAGCTGCTGTGAGTGAGTCGCTGCTGTCAGCGTTTTTTATTGGCCAGCGCATGAACAGGGAAACGGATCGTGAGTTAAAAGCATACTGCCTCGCGTTTGACGATGAACATGGTAATTAATCTCTTCCAATGAAGATGGGATTTTTTTTTTTTTTTTTGAGTATTAGAGTTCAATTATTTTCCTCAATCAGGTCCAGTGCCAGTCGCTGATGTCAGATCTTTGACTCATTACGGTGAACCGTATGATGGCAACACACGGTATTTCAGGAGCACACTTTTTGTTGCTGCGGTTAGGTCTTGTTACGGTGAATCTTGTTTGCTCCATGGTGTGGATTGGATGTCGCCGAAGGTCGTAATTTATTTTTACGTTTCCATTTGGATATAATCTCTATTTCTTCAGACGTAACATATATTGCCATGATTTAGATACAAGGATTAGTATTTGTGGCTGTTGAAACAGATCATTACATGTATGATGCTATTTATGTTTGATATAGTAAATCGAATGAAAGCCTTAGATTCTCTATATTTTGAACTGAATTTTCAGGGAGGAATTACGGAAGAGCAAATGCTGAAATACATGGGTGCAAACACGCACTTAAGCTCCATGCATGCAAAAAAGCTTCTCGAGGTTTCTATTATGTGCTTCTCTGTGTTTGAACATGCACATGCTTACGAACATATTAGTGTATTACCAATGTAATGTCTTCAATTTGTTCTGCTTAGGATGAAGATGTTGGTTTTGCTTACATAAGTCAACGAGAAGCTCAACCATCTCTGTACGTAAAATCTGACCTTGTTTTATACCTACAATTTATCACCTTCCACAGTATCTTCTAGAAATTTCACTTTTTAGAAATCCGGTAACAAATGAAACCGAGAGAATTACATGACAGTCAATGCTGTTATATATAACTTGTCAACTGATTCTGCTCCGTATATTCCCCACAGATATTCGTTGATTGGGTTAAGGGAACATATAAAGAAACGCCCACCACTAGCAACAACAGAAAAAGTTCAGCAATTTGTTCGAGTAAGCCTCTTTCGATAAAAAAACAGCTGGGATTAATTTTGGATTCACTCACTTACTCTCCGTTGTAAATTCAATATCCTTATTTTTCGCTATGTAATTGCTTATTTTTAATCCTTAGGCTAAAGGTAAAGAAGCAATTGTTGCTGGATTTTATCACGAAGGTTATGAGGAATCACTTCTTATGCTAATGAGGAGAAGAGGCGTACACTCGGGCTTGGTGGTGAAGGTACTAAAATTGTCGAGTATAATAACTGCTTAATTTTGATTGTCGTATTTTTTAATGGCAAAATTGATTTGAATTTACATTATTATTAATCAACTGATTTTTAAATTCAGGGTGAAGAAGGTGCTCTTTCAATGACTACAAGACTGAGATCACCAATTGCATCCAAGGGACTCCCTGTTAATTACTGTTCAGGTTTCCGCTCGTTGAATACGACACCTACTCCAACACTGGATGGTGCGTATTACCGATTAATTATTCTTTAACTACGCTGTTGTCTAAATGTATTCTAAGTACATCAAAAAGAATGTAAAATTCAATTAATTAGTATAATTTTCAATTTAATGTTAACAGGAGTATCTCGCGAGAGTTTCAATACCGTTGTGAATGCCAAAGACCACGGCTTCGAACCATCTGACACTCCAAGAACTGATAGATCTGTAAGTCTTCAAATCCTTAACTTCCTATTTCCAAGCTAAGTACTTGCAATTTAATTAATTTTCGTGAATATTACAGGTCACGAGAAATATCGAGTTGGGCTTGTCAGCATTACGTGGCGAAAAGGGACCCGCGTATGATCGAATAGTTTTAAATGCTGCAATGGTTGATCACTTGCTTGGATGTGATGGTGCACACGACATATCTTCGGCATTGGATAGAGCCAAAGAGGCTATTGATAGTGGCAAGGCCCTTCATAGGCTTTTAGGCTACATAAACAAGTCTAACAGAGTTGCATAAACTGTTTTTTTCAGGTGTAATTGAGTTACTTAATTGTGTAATTTTTTTCATGGTGAGATTTTTCGACTTTTACTTCACGCGGTAAACAGAACCGAGGACATGTAACATGAGTTCAATTAACAAAATTTTGATTTTTGTGAGTGTTGCTGGAAATACATTTTTTCTTTTGCACCCTATTTTAAATATAAGTCTATTTTCTGCTGAACAAGTCAAAAATACATAAATCGCACAATCCAGCGAAAAAACACGACACAATGAGTTTATGCGTTATTTTAAATACATTTTCAAGAAACTGATTGTCTACGAGCATCTCCGAAAAAATATCCTATAGATTAAAATCAAACTCGACTAGTAAAAAACTTCGAGCACTACTGCGTAAAATGGAAGATTCCACCACCTTATCTTGCATCTCTATAATAAGCCTTTGGATTCTTTATGAAAGAAATGAAAGAAGATCAATGAAGATACAAAGGGGAAAAACGGAAACGAGAGAGTTCTAAACGGAACCTTCTAGATCTGAAGTGCAGATGAAATAGCAGCAGCGAGACTTATAACTTCAAACGGAGGCTTGTGTTTCACATGCTTCACTGTCTCTGGGCATGAATCGGTCAGCCAGAAGTAAGTCATCCCACTCTCAGGATTACCTAAATAAAAAAATATTCGTTTCTATTAGTCGAAAATATCCTGATTAAAATTTAAACATTTATTAAATCCAATTTCAAAACCAAGCAATTACAACAGAAAAGTTATCGAGTCAATAAGTGAATCAATCTTCCTAATCAATAAAACCAAAGTTTATATAAATAAAGATGACTTTTGGCAATTTGAATACCTCCTTCATCGTGTTTAAACCGCTCCCATGACTTATTTGGAAAGATTCCATGTGTCACATAGGCACTTATTTTCGTCGCTCCGTGTTTCGCCAAAACTTTCTGAAAACCCCAAAAAAAATAAGATAAAAATATTTTAATAGGACTTGAAACATTTACTTTCATGTCCGAAGCAAATCATCGAAAAATTTACGCACAGTGGCACACTGACTGTGTGTGGAAAACTTCTGATTATTTTACCTGACATTCTAACAGTGTGCCACCTGATTGGACAAGGTCATCCACTATGACAACATGGCGTCCCTTCGGTTCACCTTCCTTAATTCTTACAATTCGTTGATCGCCTTCCCTAACTTTGGCACAAACAACCTGCCCATCGAATTAAACAAGTTACGTCAATTTAGTGCACGATACCTGCATACATAACTAGAAAGTAGAAAATTTGAAAATGGATAATATAATTGTTGATTAGTTGTGTGTAATAATACCATTGGGAAGTGTTGCAGCTGCTTGTGAAACCGCTTCCATGCACCATCGTCTGGAAAGGCTATTGTTATCTGGACAGACGAAAACAGATTTTGCAATTTTTTTCAACGAAAAAACGCAATATTTTATTTCGTCTCTTATTTAAATAGCCACACGGTTCAAAAAAAAAATTTACATTGTCAGAATCCGGGAGCTGTTGTAGCCTATTCAATAGCAACGGTATGCCACTTTCAAAGCACGGTAAAACATTATCACCGAAATAAAATCTCTCCTGCAAGACGAAGAAAACGAGTGGAATAATTACACTAAGCTCAAATACAACAAAAAAAAGAAAAAAGAAAAGTTGAACTGGAAAAAACATGAATAAGATGTAGGCGAGCATCGACTCACCACAAAAGCAATTACACACCAACCTGTAAGGCATGGATATCGAATATTACTAAACTGGTGGGCCCGCCCCTAGATATCGGAATATTCGACAAGATTCTTGCGAGTGTGAACGCAGTGGCAACATCTCCTTCATCCTCCATACGCTCGGAAGTGCCCGTTGGGAAAAATGGCAGGACAAGTGTGAATGACGAGACAAAAAGCTTTGGCAGAGCGTAGATTACCGACAATTGCTCGAAGATAACTCCTGGAGAATTGAACGAAGCTAGGAAAGCTACGTGTTGACCGCGAACTCCTTGGGCGTTCGATATGAACAGATTCGGAAATCCATCTTCAAATGTCCTGATTATTAATACTATCAAATAAGGCCTCGTTTGGTTGCCAAGATAAGATTAAACAATCTAATAAAAACCCAATTTTTTTTTATTGAAAAAGCTCTCTGAAAAGCGAGATAAGCCGTGATAACATAATATTTCCGGGTCGACTCAAGGAGTTATTCGGTTTACCGAAAGCAAACAAAGTCGAATTATTTAGTTAATCATGGCTAATATCCACAGCCAAACAAGGCCTAAGGCAATTGTACGTACGGAATATTCACTTGTGGCGTTTTTGGATAATCAGTGGATAAAAAAACATTAAATAATAATTTGCAAAATTCCCAAATCTTCGATCGTCAAACAGAACACGATCCAATTTCAACAGCATAAAAGCAACGATTATTACCTCCAACTAATGCTGCGAAGCTCAATTGCGTCGGATTCTGAAGCAATTCTCTCGGCGAGGCATTTCATTTCGGGGCAGTAAAAAAGGCAAACCCTTTTCGAATTCTTGAGCGAAGAATCCATGGAAGAAGACATTTGGACTGAGTTCGGCGGTTTGAGAATGATGTGAATCGGGTCGGTTGAAGAGACGCAGTCAACGGTCCATTTCTGGGGGGAAGAGGTGTTCTTCAGCTCGCAGTGGATTCTGTTCCTGGAATGTATGGGGTTAGGGTTTCGGATTTTGATTTGTGCTTTGGAGGAGGATGAAGGGAGGGAGTGGGGTGGTGAAATGGCCGACATTGGCGGTGGTTTGCGGTGGCGTCCGCCGCGAGAAATGGGGGTTGTTGCAGTCGGTTCGGAGACTGCGGCCTCCGGATTAATTTATTATTATATATACTTTCTGTATCTATCTATATATTTGGAATCAATTGAAAATTGGATTTTGGAATTCGAATATGTAATCCTGATTTTATAATTTCACTCGTAATTTATAAGCCCAATTCTCAATTGTTTTAATTTATGAATTTTAAAATTTTCACCTGCCAAATTTAAAAATGAAAAATTAAATAAATAAAAATCTAAATAATTATGATTGTCTCTTACCTAACTTGCTACAAATAGTGGCAACTTTAAATAACTACTAGAAATTAAATTGTCGCACTACTTCATTTTAATACCGACGATGTTGTTCATAAAGTTTTTGGATTATATCGTATTATAGATTAATTATTCGAAGTTTTTCGTTCAATTATTTTATATTAAACTACTGGATTCGATACATGCGGCTAAGGCAGTTGTTATCAAACATAATTTTAAAAATTGATATGGTCTTTGAATTAATTAGCCATTATGGTTTATATGTTGGAACCAAGGATGTGCTCGTTTTCTGCATTCGAATTTCATTCTTCGATATTTACCTTTTTTCAATTATTTTGGCTTAATTATTTACCTACAACAAACATAATCGTTTTTTTTTGTAACTTTTCGACTGCTTTGTATTGTATATCAACTTTTCAGTCTTGCTATTTCGAGTAGTTTATTTTTTATTTTTTATGATCATATATTTTGTTTTCACGATGAATATCCCGTTGCGATAGTAGTTAAGCTCGAAATTCACAATACAACGATGAATATCCCGTTGGGAAATGTTGTTCAATACCAATTATGTTACATAGACTTGCTACATTTTAGTTGTAAACAAAAGCACTTATAGTGTGTGCCTATAAGTTTCACATGCCTTATTCCAATTTCATGGCGGCGGCAGGCTGTGTTGTGGCGGTGGCGGGGCGGCAGCCTCCTCTCTCAGGCTTACAGCCTCTCCGGCCAGCCCTCTAAATTCTGCGAAACGCTTCCAGCAATATTTATCGGACAGCTTCCTCGGATATTTGCCTCCACAAAACCATGTTGAATCAGTTCTTTCATTACCTTTTGTCAAATATATCAAAAGCAATTTAGTAAATCAAATTAAAGAAAATATCATATCATCAGGATTAATTAATTAATACATATTTATTATTAATTACCTTGAGTAGTAGAAACTGAAATTGTAACCTGGAAAAAATCAAGTACAAAAAAGGCAATCAAGATTGCTGCAAATAACCTGATATTATTATTATCCATTACACCAATATAATCTGGGAACTCACAAATGTGTGTCTATATTAAATAGTAAGAAAAATGGGGGCCTTGGCCCCCCTCCGATTCAAGAGATTAGTGTGAACGTTAATCAAATTAAGTTGACTAATCGATGTGTTAATCGATTATTTTAAACGTCGGCTTGACTCTAATCTTATATTAAGTGGTAATTACTGGATTATATATTAAAGTACAACCAAACACATGCAGTAGAGACAAATGGAAAAATTGTATGATTTCCCAACATGTTTTATATATATTTTTATTTGCTTTGATTAAGTAATTCTAATAGGTGTTTAGATGTGTTAGTTTTGTCGATTTCTAGTTGTTTTACATGTATTATATTTCTTACAACTTAAATAAATGTCCTTTTAATTAGTGCATGCATTTCTCGTATAATAGTTTGCAAATCATACGAGAGATGTAAACCATACTAAGCTAATCGTATGTGACAAACTCCATCTAACGACCGTTGGCAAGAAAATTCGAATCTGAATCAATTGAAACAGATTCACTTGTTCCAACCGCTGCTAGGTCGCGTGACAGCCTGTCATCTTATTTGTTAATAATGTTGTTGCTGTAAAATTTGGTGTAATAGAATAATGTTTAGCTTTATTTTAACAGAAAAAGTCACATTGTTATTGATGGGCCTAGCCCGAATTTGTAAGCTTAAGCCCACTACTATTAATTCATTCAGGCCTAAGTTTTAAAGTATTAACTAAAAGCCCGAAAAGGAATAAGCCCGGCCCAAAAAAGAAATAAAGAAAAAAAAAATATATATATATATATATTGAATTTACAATTAGGCACCCCAAAATGAAAGTAATCGGCGCCATGAATCCAAGTCAATAATGTAAACTGCCCCCCGGTCAGGAAATTTCACGGGCACCACCCTTTATTCTTTTCTCCTAGCTTTTATATCTACCCTAATTCCTTAGCTCACGATTTTCTCGGCTTCTTTTATTTCCACCCTAATTTTTTTTTATTAAATTCACAAACAATATTCACAATTACTCTTCCCTCCTTTCATTTAAAGCCCCCCCTTTTTCCCCTTCTTTCTATTTTATATATATACATACATACATATATATAACTCTCCTTTTTACCTTGACACTTTTCTCATCAAGTGTGTGGAGAATCTAATTCCATATTCTCTACACTAAAGAAGAAAAAAAAGAACAACCCTTTATTTATTTATTTATCTATTTATTTATTTTACCATTATTGAACATAGTATATATACATCTCTGCAAAAAACCTCGTTCTTGGTAAGAACAAAGATAATATTAAAAAAAAAAAAATGGGTGTCTCGGAGAAGATTCATCAAATGGATGGCGGCGGCGTAGTGGAATCTGAAAAGTGGGTTTTCTCCGGAATAGCGGTGATCAGAAGCCCGTTGAAGCCGGTTTTCACAAAACCGGCGGTGGAGAAGAAAGAGCTGCAGGAAGATCAGGATTGTTCCACCACTCCGACGGCGGCGGAATCGAGAATTCCGACAAGGCTGTCTTGCCCGCCGGCGCCAAAGAAGCGGAAGCCTTCCTCGAGATCATCTTCTTGCCATAGAGAGTTTTTCAACCCGCCGGATTTGGACACGCTTTTCGTTCGCCGCACGTGTTGATTAGTACGGAAGCCTAACTAATTAACTGCCGATTGTATTTCTGCTAGAACATAGTTCAACTTACTTTATAACATCCATGTTTGTTCTTTTTCCCTTTTCTTCTTTTTTTTTTTTTTTAATTTTTTGTCTATGTGTAATTTGCTTTGATCATCTGTGTTTTTATTTTTCAGTGACATAATTTAGATATTCTGATTGTAAATGGCTTATGAATAAATAAGATAGCAAATTAACTAGGTTTTCTACTATGGTAATTAATTACGCCCAACCCCTGAGGTAAGGTCAAATTATGAAAAAATCCTTCAATGTTTAATTTGGGTAATTACAACCACCAACCTCAACTATGAATCTTCTTATACGTCCATCCTCGCGGTACCAAATTTAGTGAAATCTTCTAGATTATGTGAAATATACTCCAGTTTGTACTCGTTTAATCTTATTTGAAGGGGTATTTCGTAATTTAACCTTACCTCAAGAGTGGCCGTAATTTAATACTTCTTAATTAGGAAACCAAGTATCCTATCTTGTCTTGCATAAACTTCTAACTGTATAAAAAACATATTATTTATGAATATATTTACCTTAAATATTTAATAATATGTATAATTTCCATGCCTTAAGAACAAAAATATAGCAAACTTGTTTCAAAATCCATTTTGATTTTCTTTCTCCTCAATTTCATGATCTTGACTTTACACTGTATATTAAGGACTGTATACATATGCATATATGTGTATCTATATATGAGAGTGAGATATATATATACATGCACATGCACATGCAATTAGTGAAGAAAAGTTGTCAAACCATTTGAAAGAAAAGCAAACTCGAGAAGCAATTTATTCATGTTAATTATTATCTTTTTAATTATCTTGAACCCTATTTTTTTAATTATTAATTGAAAATATAATATATTAATGCCGGCCACCAAACAATGACTCTCCACCCGCCTAGGACGCCTTACAATAGTGGGAAGGTTCTGTGTAATAGAAAAAAATGCTTCCTTTTTTTATGAGAAAAAAGTGTGGGCAAAAGGACAATTTACAAAAGTCATGATTGGTAAGTGGATTAGAATCCTATGCTTTTGTGGAGATATATTATATTTTCATTTCAATTTATATTATTATTATATATATATATATTACCACTAGTGGAATATATGCAGTTTTTATATACACTTTTATAGGTATATGCTATGTAGTACAAACACGGAAACGGTGATAGGGGAAACAGGAAAATGGATACGAAACAACGACCTGTCTCAAAGACGTGGATATGGGAGCTCGGGGAAAATATGTAAATATTAAAAGTAAAAGGGTGTGTTTATAAATCTGCTATATAAACATATATAAGATTTTATTTATGTATTGGTTATTTTTATATATTTTCATAAAAACATATTCAAAATAAGTATTATTATCAACTATTAATTTACAATATTTGAAAATTCACTACTCAAATATGTTTCTAACTTTTTATAAATTGCAAAATGATTCTTGAGGTCTGCTACATGTGTCCTCAAGTGTCGGATACGGAATATATTCGTAACACGAATACGTTAAAAAGATGAATTGCATATAATATTTTATTCATTCTAAGTGTTAATTAGATAGTGACAAGATCATGCCTAAATTTGTTACTTTTAATTAGATTATGGAGATGTGAAATCCCAAAAGCTGCAAATATTAACTTGAGCAATTATTCTTTCCAATTAATGTCGAGTTCACCTAATTATCTAAAAGATTATTAATTTTTCAGAAAAAATAAAATAAAATAATTGTTCTTGGGATCGGAGCTTAAATAGTAAAAAATAAGCAAATAAAAGTTCACCACGTATGTAATATAATAGACCACAAGTTTATTCACTTGGCATTTAGTGTTTCTAAAGCTTCAATAATTGGAGACACATCACATGAGAGGGAGCTATAAAAATATTGCTTACAATCCGTACACGAATAATTATATTTTATTATTATTATTTTACTTTTTTTTCAATGTTGTTCTTAGTGCGTGACCATTTGGAATTGTAATTAAATATAATTTCAAGAATTATATAATTATATATTGACTAACTAATTATCCAAAACTTTGAACAGCGAATTTCAACTAATAATTCAGTGTTGATCTAATAATTTATTACGATTTACTACTTAGAAAGATAAATGAAATTAATCAATTTTCGACTTGAAATTTCGGTTGTCATGATTTTTTATCTTGTTTTTACCATGGGTTGGAATTTTCAATTTCCGTCGATTTCAGTCCGAAATTTTCCGATTTTTGAACAATATTTTTCAACTCGAATTCCGAAATTTTGACTTCTGAGTTTTTTTTTTTGAAATTATTTGTATCGGAATTGGAATATATATGATATTTCACTTTTCGATCCGATTTAAGTTCAGATTTTTTTCGAATTATACAATTAAAATACCAATATTGTTGTGTATTTTATATTTAAGGTGAGCAAAAAGTGGAATATTCCGAATTTCGATCCAAAATTTTACGATTTTCGAATAAGTTTTTTCGTTTCAGCTTCCGAAATCCCATTTTTTCGATTTTTTCAAAACAAAATTGAAACTAGTTTTCAACTTTCAAAAATATCATTTTTTTTTTCTTTCAAAAGGGGCTTATTTCGGTCCGATTTGTCCAATTTACGCCCCTAGTTTTAAGACATGGAATCATGTGAATTTTTTACACAAACTTTTATGACTGGAAACTCCATTGCAGAATGTGACAAGTCCTCTTTGTTTTTGGATCAACCAACGATAAGACAAGAGATTCAATAGGATTAATATCAATTATTTAATTTTATATATTATTTTTTTTGCTGGATAAGTCTGAAGATAGGTTGACAAGATAGTACACTACTGAAAGTAGACAATGAAAATCAAATCCATAAAATAAATTTGGCAATAAAAAAAAACACTAGCTTATTATGACACTTTTTTTGGACAATACATTACAAAAAGTTTTAGTTTTTCAATACAATTTGTCTTCCTATATAAGTATAAGCAAATAAAGTGTGACACTAATATCTATAATCTATAATCTATAATTTATAATCTATAAAGCATGAAAAGGTTGCTAGGTATATATATGAGCATTTTGAGTAGGAATAACATAATTCATAAAGGCAATTGGTCGATTTACCGATTTCAAACGTTTAGTTTATTTATTCGAGTGTGTATGTAGACAACCACAATCTCGAAGATGTGCGTACACATAATCACTCAAAACGTCTATTTCAAGCACACAAAGCTCGCCAACTCACCAAACCAACCCAGTTCTCATGTGAGAAGATTTTAGGGTTTTCGATTAGGTTTAGGTCATTATATGTGTCTTAACATCCTCCATTCTGCATACATTGTATTTACAGGACTCAGGTCAAGTATAGCCGGCGAAGGCAATACCACTTAGTCAAAGTCAGCCGCGTATTATGGCATTTGACCCCTCTGGTTTGATAGAGTCTTCATGTAGTACAAATGAAGAAAACAAAACAAGGGGCGGCGAAATGTCATGATTAGTGAGCGATTGAAGTGTCATGATTACACAACACAGATCAACGGACGAGATCAGTTATTATTCCAAACTTGGGTTTTCATAAGAACCCCATCGGGCCTCTCTAGTGGTGGGGAATGGGCTTTCTGGCCCGTCACACCATTTGGGCCAAAAACTATTCAAGAATGAGATTTATATTAGTTTAATGAGTCAATTGCATTTTCATATGAATTGATTTTTGAAACCCCATTAGGCCCAATCTTGAATCAATATAGTCCACAAGGCCCGGACCAAGTTAATATTTCTTCAATATTAAAAGCTATTAAAAAAGCAAATTATTTAGAGCCCAAAATGAAATTCAAAGATCGTTCACTCGATTTGAGATGCTAAACCTGGTGAAAAGTATCGGATAATTTCGCATAAAAAATCTATATAAATAACTATCAACTAAGCATACGTAAACATGATTACATGAACAGAATTAGTCGTTGTATTTCATCATGAAGGTGCGATAGATAGCTCGAGAATTGTCTCAAGATAAATTACTATTATTAGAAATTAACAAAATTGTTAACAAAATTAATTAGTCAACTTATGGGGGTTAGCCTTTAGGTCAGTGAAATTTAACTATTATTAAAATCCATTGACTAAAAAGAATTAGTAAAAGTTTGTCTCTATCTTATTTTTATTTAATTTCTACGCACAAGTGACGGAAGTTTTTTGTTCACCATTTCACTTGTATGCATACTAAACGCGTGGTCCGTCTAATTTGACGGTGACGGTGACGGTGACGGTGACGCCACCTAAGCCCTTCCGCCGCTCGACGTCGGCGGCAATTAACACCGCCGCATTCATTCATCGGCATCGCCGCCACCGATGAAGCAGAAAACATGGCCGTGCAAATCGGACAGCCTCCACTTTTCAGCCATCCCGTTCCTCAGAAAACCGAGTGGCGATTCTCCCTCCTCTGCTTTCACAAAACCCGCCAAAACCCACCTCTCATTCTTCAATTCCTCCCGGAGAGCCGCTCCGCCGGCGACGTCGGCGTCGGCGTTCCCCTACTCGTGCTCCGATTTGTCCGCGCTACCGTACGACGTCATTTCGAGAATCGCGGCGTCCTTCTCGATGCCCAACCTGATGGCGGCTTCGCTCGTCTGCAGGGCGTGGGCGGACGCGCTGAAACCCTTGCGTGAGGCGATGGTTTTCCTCAAATGGGGGAAGAGGTTCAAGCACGGCCGCGGTGGAATGAAGGCGAATTTGAGCAAGGCTCTGGATTCCTTTCTGAAGGGGGCGGCGCGTGGGTCCACGCTCGCGATGGTAGATGCGGGTTTGATCTACTGGGAAATGGGGAAAAGGGAGGAAGGAATCCTCTGGTACCGGAGGGCGGCTGAGCTCGGCGATCCCTCCGGACAGTGTAATTTAGCTATTTCATGTTTACAAGGTATTCGCGTTATTTACATCGTTGTTCGAATCGATTATTTCTGCAATAGTATAATTTGGATTATCATCCCAACTGTTTCTGTTAAAATTTCCTGAAAATGCATTCATATGTTCAAATTAGGTTTCGGTTTCGGTGTTTATAATGATTGGCATTTACAAAAAAAAAAAAATGCAGTCGAATTTTAAATTCTTGATCAAGGATCATATACGTATACCAATGCTTGTATAAATATTGCAGCTAATCCTTCAAACACCAAAGAAGCACTCGAATGGTTGTACCGGGCTTCTTTCACGGGCCATGTTCGTGCTCAATACCAACTTGCTCTTTGTTTACATCAAGGTCGAGTTACCGGACAAAGCCTCCAAGAAGCGGTACAAATATAACCTTAGATTAAATTAAGATATATCTTTTTTTTATCAATCGAGGCAATTTCTTTTGTTCCTTAATCTCGATATCAAATTTCTACATTTTGTGGTCCTAGTTTTATCTGATTATGGCATGAACAGCAGTTACATGATTGCCATTTAACTTAACATTAAAAGAGTGCTTCGTGTTTTTTTTTTTTTCTTTTATTTGGACAGGCTCGTTGGTACCTAAGAGCTGCCGAAGGAGGATATGTTCGTGCAATGTATAATACATCTCTATGCTATTTAATGGGTGAAGGTTTGGTACAGTCTCACAGGCTAGCAAGAAAATGGATGAAACGAGCAGCCGATCATGGCCATAGCAAAGCTCAGTTCGAACACGGGCTTGGTCTTTTTTCAGTATGTAATGCAAAACCCTATAATTTATTTTTTTTGTATAAAAAAGAAACGGTTTTTTCGTACATGAAAATTAGGGTTATCGACTAATTTGTTGCGAAAATAACAATTGATAACAGGAAGGAGATATGATGAAGGCTGTGGTGTACTTGGAGCTGGCAACTAGGGCTGGAGAAAGAGCTGCTGCTCATGTTAAAAATGTTATACTTCAGCAATTATCGGCTACTTCTCGAGATAGAGCTATACTTTTAGCTGACACCTGGCGGGCTTTGCCTTCTTCCCGATAAGTCTTGTTCCGACTATTTGTTTGCTAGTTGCTCTGCCCTTTTCGCCCGTTTTTTTTTTTTTTTCTGGATAAGTTATTTAGCTTTGTCTGTGAAATAAAGATACTGGAATATATACATGTATAAGTTTTACAGAATAAATTGTGAATGTAAATATAGTGATTTCACTTCCATCGAATCGTTTCGGATGTGTTGGTAACAGCTTGCTTCTTGTATTATTTAGTATTTACTCAGCATCTATTATATAGCATTTTCCCGGACATTTTTAGGGTTGGATATCGGACGGATTGGATTGGAATTAGCACTTCCCGAAAATTTTCAAATTTTTTCGGGAGTCGTTAATTCCAATTTGGTTCAAAATTTTTGGAAAAATCTAAAATCGAAATTTCATAAATTGGAATTAGAAAAGGTTGGAAGTGTATAATTTTCAGAATTATACTTGAAAATTAAAATTGGATCGAAAATCTGAATCTCGTATATGTTCCAAATTTGTTAATCAGTAACAATGCATTATTTTCTGATTCTTTCAAATTCTCCGATTTGAGATAAAAATACAACTCGTACAACAAATACAACCGATTCTCGTTCGGACAAACATCATCAAATACCAAACATAGCTAATGAATGACCATGTTCACATCACTATCTCAACAATGTGTATACATCCAAACCAATCCCACGCAGGGCTAAAACGGTATTTGCGCGATCATACCGGAGTTCTGATGAAAAACGCTCAAATGATAAATCGCCTGAGGAATCAACTCCCTCAACTCCAAATGTTGAACAACAAACAAACGGTCCAACCCTTCAAACGCATTCAAAACTCCCGCCCTTTCCAACTCCTCGCTCTTCCCCGCGTGAATCGCAAGATAACACGTAAGTATTAATCCGTGCAATCGGGCCCTTTCATTCCCCTTCAACAATCTCACAAGTGGCGGGACCCCCTTAAACTCGATAATATTCTTACAATGCTCCACGCAGAGAAAATTGTCCGAACAAGCGAATTTTGTAAGCGCCACAGCAGCTTCAGCCGCCACTTCTTGATTCCTGTGACCGAGAAGCTCCACCAAGGGACACACAACCCTCGTTTCTCTAGCGGGGAACGTTCTTGCTAAAGAACCTATTGCAGTTACAGCAGCTAGTTGCAACATAGGATCTTCGTCTGAATCTTTCATAACCCTAAGTAGCTGGTCAACTACAGCTTTCGCCGGAGGAGAATTCGTCTTGAAAGTTGCTCTTCGGAGATCAGGGTTCGATTCTGCTGCTGCGGTTATTTCCATTATCGTCATCAAGCAGTTTCGTTGCAGTTCGCCTTCTTCTGCTTCGACTAGCTTAGCTAAACAGAGCAACCCCTTTGTGTCGGTAATTCTCTTGCTATTTGGCACGCTCCATTTAGCGAGCATCCACAATGCCTTTGCGCAGCTGATTTTGAGCTCGAGTTTCAGCTCAGGTTTTTCGTGTTCTCTCTCTTTTCGATGACTCAGCCCTTTGCAGCTTCCTTCCGCGTAATGTATGGATAAATTGGAAGAACCCGATCCCGATTTGAATAAACTTTTCTTCTCCAACTCCATGTTGATTTGGACGAGGGAGTGGATGCTTTGCTTTTCGGGTTTGACTTTCGGTTCGTCCACGAATAAATCGAAGGATAGTAACGTGACGAGCGGTCGGATTATGTTTTCTCTAGCAAAATCCTCTTTGGCGATAGGGGAGTGCTCGGCCATCTTCGCGACTAAATTAGCGACGGTTATTTGGACCTTCATTGCCGAATTGCCGAGGACTTGAACGATTATTGGAATGCCCGATTCGTCGATTAGGGTTTGGATTCGTTCTTGGTCGTTGGCTAAGTTGAAGAGTGCGGAGGAGGCGGCGATTTGGGCTTCTTGTGAAGAGTGGTCTTTTAGTAATTTCAGCAGCGGAGAAACGCCGCCTTCGTCGACGATGATCTGCTTGTTTCGGTCGTTATCTTTTGCTAACGAAGCTAATTCGTTTGCGGCTTCGATTCTGTCTTGCAATTGGCCCATGTGTAATGAAGCGATGAAAGACCAGACCCACGAGATTATAGGGTCGTTGCTAGCAATTGGGGGTAGGGTTAGGACGATACCTCCGGCGGCGTCGAAGATGGTGAGGACCCACTTCATGTCGGCGACGGAGGAGTCAAGGATCGCGAGCAGCTTCCGGAAGTCCGCGGCGGAGACGATCGTCACGACGCGGCGGAGGATGCTGCGCCGCCGGCATTTTTTGACTAGGGTTAGGGATTTCTCGAGGTTTCTGGAGGCCTCGGCGGCGATGCGGCGGAGGGGGCGGTCGTAGAAGGCGTTGCCGGCGGAGGTGGACGGGGCGAGGCGGACGGCGGTGCGGAGCTTCTGGCAGAGACGGTCGACCTGCTTTCCGACCTCGGCGCACTCGAACTTGAAGGACTCCGCCTCCTTCACGGCGGCGTTGATTTGGTCGGAGAGTAGGATTGGGAACGACAGAACCTCCTCGATTCTCTTCTCCAGCTGCTGCTTCTGCTCGATTGCTCTCTGCTTTTGGGGGTGTAGCTTTTTAGTAATAACTGACGGCGTTACTGCAGAAGATGAGGGTTTCGCCGCCATTGTTGTGGTGGATCATGAAAATGGGGGAAAATAATTATTCCGAGATTTTTTTTTTATTTTTTGTGAGGTTCGGACAAATTAAAGGTGAAATCTTTTTTTTTCTTGTGTGTCACACTCACAGGTTGGAGAAAGTAAACAATTGTTTAAATTTTAATTGTCTGATTATATTCTTCTCTGCATGTCTGTTCTCTAATTTTATTTTTCATAATTTAAATAAATATATATATAGATTATAAATTAAGTTATTATTTCATAATTTTAAAAAAGAATTAACAAGAAATAGGAAAAAAAAAATATATCAAAATCTTTTTACTAGGAGGAGTATTAAAAGTTAAAACAAGTTGTAAGAATTTTACTTGCAGGTATATTTAAAGCATAATCCTAAACCCCCACTGATTTAGCCAAAAAAAAATATTCTTTATACTAAACTAATGAATTGTATTTTTTTTTTTATATAATTAAATAATGAATTGTTCTTTTTTCTTTTCTTTTTTATTTATTTATATTATATAGAATTAATGAACTGTTTTGGTTGGACTGATATGAGAGAGATAGTTGCTTGTGACATAGATTTCAGTAAAATAATTGAAGTAGTCAAGTGGGTTTTATTTTTCTTTTTATTCTTTTTAGATATTATTAATAATTTGACTAAGCTTATAAGTTGTTAAAAAAAGCTTAAGAGCTTATAAGATATTTAACAACTTATAAGATCTTTTTAGTTTAAGTGTTTGTTAATTGTTTTTAAAAGATCTTATAATTTGGCTAAGTTTTAAGCTGTTAGAGAGCAAGTAAAATATTTTTTTAAAAAGTACTTATATCCCACTTTTTATTTAACAACTTATAATGAGTAACTATAGTTTATAAGATCGTTATTCAAACTCTCTAAAGTCTAAACTTAATTCTAATAATAAAACGTAACAACTTATATATCAAACAGCTTATCAGCTCTTAAAAGAACTTATCAATTGTTAGAGATTATCAACTATTTAAAATAAACTTAGTTAAACGAGATGTAACATGAAATTTACAATTAGGTTGGTTTGTCTTCTTTTATAAGCTACAAAATCAATAGAAAATAAATAAATAAACATATGCAATAATTAGTGAAAACTCTAAATTGATATATGATGTTACATCAACTTTGTTTATTAGATTGAAAAATGAATAAAGGAGATATTTTTGTTATTTATTTCTTTATTTGAGAGGGACTTGACGAGGTTAGTACGATTGAAAGTCAAATTTAATCACGAGAAAAAGTTTCCTTTACTTTGAAATTAATTACACAGCACTCCATTCAGATGGATATTTTTTTTTTATTTTTCCTTTAAATATGAAAATGCCATGTTAATTTCCAGATACTCCTTGTTTTATTTTATTATTAATTAATTTATATATATCAGACCAGAAGTAGAGTGAATTAATTTTGAAAAACTAGAAGATAGGAGAAGAAAAAATTATATGATGTTTTTTTTTTTTGAAATAATTTGAATTTCATGTAGATTAAATAATAAAAATTGGTTGGACTAAATAAATATATAGATATTATACAGTTTATTTTTTTTCAATTGGGAATGGACTCGCCTATGATTTTGAGTCAAATTCGTAACTTACTTATCAAACTTGTTATCTTCGTTTATTATTTTTCTTTCGGGATGTGATAAAAATTGTTCGAGCTTTAATAATACCGTTTCGACTTCAAACGTGATTTCGATCATTTTTTATTCCAAATTTTGCAAAACCCGATAAATAAGATTTGTAGTATTCTGAGTTAGTTTTCTAATCCAACTTGAAGGACCAAAATTGGATGTCGAACGAGAAAGATATACATAAATCAATGGATACTGCCCACAACTTTGAGGTATCTAAAATTCAAAATGTGACTCATTCATGCATAACTTTGTCACACGACATCAAATCTAGCGGATTTAAGTTGAATTAGAAAACTAACCCAAAGGACTACAGTTTTCGTGTTTCGAACTTTGCCAAAATCAGAATAAAAATATGTCAAAATCAGGTTCGAAATCAAAACGGTATTAGTAAAATTGAAATGGCATTTAACATTTCAGTTTTCTTTATTCGTTTTAACTAAAAACAATTATTTTATTTTTTTATGTAAAATTAAATTATTAAAAATAATAGGAGCACAATACAAAGATAATATTTTATATATACATACATATATAGTAATGCAATGACCATCTGTGGCCCTACACGTGGCAACTGCTACCGACACTTTGATTCTGATTGGGAAAGATCTCCGTAAATTCCATCCCACTGAAATAGCGGAAGCATTTTCTGAAAACACCATGACCGATGGTGGCGGCTCGCATCTTATCTCCGCCGTATGCGGTGGCGACGATGATCAAGAATCCTCTTCCGCCCTACTGTCTCATACCCAACTAGAAAGAAATAAAGAAGAAGAAGACGATATTGATAAGCCTATCAACGGGATCGCCGACTTCGCCGGAATATTCCTTACCGAGTCAAAGAAGCTATGGTACCTCGCCGCTCCGGCAATCTTCACCTCCTTCTGCCAGTACGGCCTCATCACCATCACCCAAATCTTCGCCGGCCACCTCGGCACCACCCAACTAGCCGCCGTCTCCGTACAAAACTCCATCATTTCCGGCTTCCCCTTCGGCATGATGGTATATATATACATACGTTGACTATATATACTTATATATTAATATAAGGTAAGTTACAACCACTCCCTGAAATATGGTCAAACTACAAAAAAATCACTCTTGTTTGGATAATTATAACCATCACCTTCAACTATAAATCTTCTTACACGTTCATTCCTGCAATGTCAAATTTAGTGAAATCTTCTAGATTGTATGGAATATTCTCAATTTTGTACACGTTTTATCATATTCGAGCTCCACATTTTAAAGCAAGATCATCATAAAATGGTGTTTTTGGGCTTGTATATATCAGATTATGGTGCGTCAGAAACTATATTTTTGTACAAAACGAGTACAAACTAGAGAACATTCCACGAATCTAAAAGATTATGTTAAATTTGACGTCAAAAGGATAGACGTGCAAGAAGATTCATAGTTTAGAGAGGGTAGTTATAATTATCCAAATATGATGGGGGGTTTTCGTAATTTCATCATACCTCAGGAGTTGGTTGTAATTTATCCTATATTAATAATTATATCATATATTGTTGCCTGAATTCCGATGAAAATAATGATTTTATTTATTTATTTTTCTGACACAAGTATGGAATGTCGAGTGCACTGGAAACATACTGTGGGCAAGCATACGGAGCAAACCAGCACGAATTACTAGGGATCTACATGCAAAAATCATGGATTATCCTAACTTCCATGGCGGTTGCAGCACTTCCTCTCTTCATATTCGCCGCCCCAGTTCTCCAATTTCTCGGACAAACGGAATCAATATCAACCGCCGCGGGGAATTTCTCTCTGTGGATGATCCCACAGCAGTTCGCGTACGCCCTAATGCTCCCGTCCACCAAGTTCTTGCTTGCTCAGAGCAAAACCCTAGCCATTGCTGTAATAGCTGCACTCGCGCTTTGCCTTCACGCGCTTTTCAGCTGGCTATTGATTACGTATCTTGGATGGGGACTCGTCGGTGGGGCCATTCTACTCGACGGCGCGTGGTGGTTCATCGCCGTCGCTCAGTTCTTGTACATCGTGGCTGGCTACTGTGGTGAAACTTGGTCCGGTTTTTCGTGGGTCGCTTTCCGAGATTTGTGGAGCTTTTGTAAGATTTCTGTTGCCTCTGCTGTCATGATGTGGTAATTAATCTCTCTCTCTCTCTCTCTCTCTCTCTCTCTCTCTCTCTCTCTCTCTCTCTCTCTCTCTCTCTCTCTTGTATAAATATATTGATCTGTTTTAAAAAACACTGAAGCTTGGAAGTATGGTATGTTATGGCTCTGACTCTGTTTGCTGGATTCTTGGAAGATGCTGAGGTTTCAATTGATGCATTGTCCACACGGTGAGTTATATATACATATATATATATATATATATATATATATATATATATATATATATATATATATATATATATATATATATATATATATATATATATATATATTGCATTAATCTCGGACAATAATAATGTTTAGGTGTGGAAATCGAATAGGGACTGGTATATTCCGAAAAACAAAATATTGAAACGGAGTTTTCGAATTCCGCCAATTCCATTTATGAAATTGGAATTAGAAAACTTGATCCAAAATTGGAATCGGCCGAATTCGGAGTTTTCACCTTTTTAGTCACATATAATGTAGAATATTATACACAACAATGTTGATATTATACGTGTAATTTTCGAGAAAATATCAAAATGTATTCCAATTATAATCCAAAAAAAAAATCTAAAAAAGCGGGAAAGAAAATATAATTTCCAAAATCGAAAAAATTCAGATTGTATTTGGTATCGGCGGATTCGGAAATTCCGTTGGCTAAGGTTTGTATTTACGGTGCCACATCATGACAACAAGCAAATTTTATTGCAGCATAAACATACTAGGTTGGGCATGCACAGTCGCTATTGGATTGAACGTCGCCTCAAGGTTTAATTTGAACACGGAAATTTGTTTTTCTTTTTCGTTTTCCGGAGAAAATTTTATTAATATTTTTAAATTGATTTCTTGTAAGTGAAGTGTGAGAGTGTCGAACGAGCTAGGCTCACGGCACCCGAAAAAGGCGAGATTGTCGGTGATAGTAAGCGGGTCCACTTCACTAATCATAGGCCTAATCTTCAGCCTTGTTCTCATAGTTTCTAGAAACAAGTACCCCGCAATATTTTCCGGCAGTTCGGAAGTTAGGCGTCTCGTTGAAAAACTCACACCGTTACTTGGGATTAGCATAGTCTTAACAAATGTTCAGTATAATCTCTCAGGTACTTAATTAATTAATCTTTAAATGCATATTAATTAAAGTGATGTAATTAGCTGTAATACGCAAATTTGTCAGGAGTGGCAATCGGGGCAGGGTGGCAAGTTTCGGTTGCGTATATGAGCAGCGGATGCTATTTTTTATTTGGTGTTCCGTTTGGTGTTTTGATGGCGTACAAGTTTCAAATGGGAGTCCAGGTGATTTTTTCGACACGATATATATAACTCTTTTTTATGGAATTTCGATTTTCGATTTTTCGATTTTCAGGGGATTTGGTATGGAATGGTGTTGGGATTAGCGCTGCAGACTTTTTTCTTGCTATGGATGATACGTATCGCAAACTGGAACAAAGAGGTAAGAATTTAATTTATTACACGAGCAAATATAGTTGCGAAAGCAAAAAGAATCTGATCCGATTTTTATTTTTTTTCGTGTTCTTGTTGCAGTCTTATGCAGCTGAAGAGAGATTACGACAGTGCCGAGGCGAAACATGTCCGGAAAACGAGACCGGTTAAAAAGGAAAAAAAAACATATTAAAAAGTAAATAATTAAGGGGCAAAATAGATGTTTTGTATGTTTGATCTTCCGAAAAAAACTCTGTTTTTAACGGAGGCGGAGGAATCAAGAAAATCGAAAAATATTTGGATTAATTAAATTCTCTATCAGCTGGAATACAGCTAAAAAACAATAAAGCCCTACAATGAAACAACAAAAAAAACAAAAGAAATGGATTTCTTTTTAGCCCGAGTTAAAAATTAAAATCTCGAAGTTATTACACAGCTGTCACAGCATAGCTCCGTAAGAAATGATGTGGTCGTGTTTCGGATCAAGTACTACTCCGGTGCCAGAAAATGCGTCAAAATCGAGAAACGAAGCTGTTTCGTTTAGTGTGAGCGCTCAGTTAAAGGATAGTACGGTTAGAATAGTGCATGCAGGTGGTCGAGTTGAAATGTACCACGAGGCGATTCCTGCTTCTAGAATGATCCGGAAGTATCCAGGTACGTTTGTGGCGAGGCCTAGTGTGTTCAAGCGGCCCCACGAGTCACTTTTATCGGCCGACGATGTGTTGTTGCCTGGTAATAAGTATTTTATTATTCGGTCGACGACAGTGGAGAAGTTGAAGCGTAGGCATGAACGAAAATCGAGAGGCGATTGCGATGAGATTGAGGAAGTGTCTGTTTGTTCTTCGGGGGAGTTTTTTGTGCCCGAGGAGAATTGGTCGGTTTTACGGAAACATGCGAAAGGGAAAGGGAAAGAGAAGAGACAATTTGTGCCTCCGATTCAGAGGCCTCGGATTTGGAGGGAACACGAGTGGGAGCCGAGTTTGAATTCAATTCAAGAGGTTTCTCCGTGATTACGAGAAATGTTTTCTTTGATTCTTCGGTCCCTTTTTTTCATGGCTTTAATTGGGAATCCGGTTAATATTTTGTTCTTCGTTTTTTTTCCCTCCCTTTTTAGTATTGGAATTTTGCTTTAACTTTGAGATTTTTATGTTTAAATTTTGTGTTTTGCATTTTCTTGATGATGATGCTCCTCGGGGATTTTGTTCTTACGAAAAAATGGATCGCGTTGTTTTGTATGCCTATAAAATCTATTAGTTGTGTTGAGACAGATTACTTTTTAATACATTAATAGTTGTAACCAGGTGCGGAACCAGGATCAAAATGTATGGGAGCTAACTAATATTTTGGAGTTCGGGGCAGCGCCCCGAAAAAAAATTATAGAGAAAAAACAAAACATAATAGGTTAAGACACATATTTACAAAAACTTTGGGGGGCCAAAAGTAATATTAAAAAAATACAATACCAAATAGCTAATTTTTTTTTTCTTGGGGGGTCATCAGCCCCCCAAGCCCCTTCCATGTACCGCCCCTGGTTGTAACTATAATTCTTGTATGTATACATAAATAAACTACTAAAAGCATAATAAATAACACCCAAAAAAAAAAATTGTCGGGCAAAGAATGGTCTAGCGGTTGGAGCAAGTAAGCATGTTTTAATTTAGTTAGGTTTGAATATGCTTGCCAACGGTCGCTAAGTCGAGTTTCTGAGGTTGAGAAACTTTATGTATGCACGAAATTCACCACTATAACAATTTGGATAAATTACACCTACACCCCTAAAGTATGCTAAAATAACTTTAAGTAATTAGAGTCACCCTTGAAACAATTACCGGAGCTAAGATTTCATGTCCTGGAGATGGATATGCAATATATTTGGTTTCAAACAATGTTTTAGGGGGTGATTGTAATTACCGATACTATAGAAACCTTAAAGTTAATTTAGCATACAGCAGGGGTGTAGGTATAATTTACCATAACAAGTTTTCATCGAATTGTATTTGTGCTTAGGCTTTAAAAATAAAAGTGTATTGGGCTTAACATATATAGATCAGCCCATATCTGGTATAGGCTGCCGAATTATGGGCGAGGTTTAAAAAATTAATTCAAAAATCTATAGTCACTAATGCGAACTCATTCCATTTCTATAAATAAATAAATAAAATGATTTACTAATTTAAATAATTGTATTTCCCAACTATGTAACAAACAAAAAAAAAATTCTCCTTCAAAAAATAAATAAATTTGTACTTGGGAATATTCGGGAATATTTTTGTCAACATTCAATCAAATAACTTCGATCGAGTCGGCCCATCCTTATTACGGCAACACTGGAAAATTTCTCTGAAGTCTGAAACGGTACAGTTTCATACTGGTCCATAACATACGCTACCGGCCCTTCAAAATATCAGGAACGCCAGCCAATGCAGGTCCGACACGTTTCCCTATTTACATTAGGGTTTACGCTTCAAAGTCCAAGCTCTAATTACTTTGATTTTGAATAATGTAGTAGTTTAGTTGTAATTAATCATCAATAATGTAGTTGTTTAGAAGACTTTGATATTACGATAAATTAATATTTCATTAAATTAATAGAATTTAACTGATCTTAATTGTATTCCTCCATCTATTCCACAATACATATCTTTTGATAATTTCTTTTGTTCCATATTATATACTACCTTACATTTCCAAATATACCCTTATTATATATTAAACACTATTTCTGCATTAATAGTAAACAGATGTATTTTAGAAACAAAGGTCTTTTGGTCCATCGATAGTTATTATACCCTTATTATCTCTCAAACATTATCTCTGTATTAATTAGTAAATTAAAGTATTTTAGCAAACAGAGGTATTTTGGGGGATCAATAGTTATTTTCCTAAAATCAAGATATACTTATTGGATTCTTAAAACTTGTGTCTAGATTTTCTCAAAAAAAACAAAAAAAAAAACTTGTGTCTAAGATAAAAAACAATACGTATTTAAAAATGAAGAGAGTAATTTATAGAGATTTAACTGTATATTATTTTCAATTTATTCTTTTTTTTCTTTTTTTTAGTCAACGATAATAAAACTTAAGTGTATCATCTTATCAATATATCTTCAGGTAAAATTCTCTATCAAATGCAGCCAAAAATAAATAAATAAATATGTGGTGCTCATGTGTAGAATATTGTTTGATGAGTCAGAAATGATGAGTGATGAGTCATCATTTTTGTGATTTATATTCTTACCCAACAATTTTACTAAATTCATATGGTTTCTATAATATATGTTCCTTTCACAGCATCTTGATTCCCTACATTTTGGGGGTTTTGAAAAGGATTGTAATTCTTCTCTTTTTCCCTTTTATATTTTCTCCACATTTTATTTACTTCTCATAAAAAAATAATTAATTTAATTCGTAAAAATTGTAGAAAAAAATAAAAAAGAAAGATATTTACAAAAATGCCATTAGTATTACTTAGAGTTGCCCGAGCTACCATTAATTCCTATCGTACGCACAAGCACTATGATTATGAACATGCCCACAATTTTATTACTTACTTATGTGTAAATACATAATTTGTTAACCGTAAACAGTATTCATGTTTCTTACGACAATTATTCTCGACACGTAAAAACGCGTTTATTAAAAATCGTACTTAGCATGAGCCCTACCAGAGCCAAAAGTACAAAGTTTTGTTTTTAATATTTCACACGTCTGAGATATTTTTTGAGGTCGGCAATTTAAATCGCATATTTCTTGTTTGTTCCTTAAATTATGTCGGCTTTTTTTATTTTTATTTTTTAAACATTTATTTACATTTTTATCTCATATTATCTTATGTGAGGTCAGAATTTGGGCCTCACATTTTGTGTTTAAAATAAAAATAAAAAAAGTCTTAATCATAATCACTTTATTCATTAGTTGGAAAATCTATTATCTATATATATTGAAACCTATCTAAAACTATAAGCTAAATAATAATCAAGATGCAAGTGGATTGTGTGTTGTTCAAGGTGCATGAACAAGTTTGTTCCAGAAATATAACAACATCTTACATTCTTTTTTGGGCATATTATGACCATTATGTCAGATAAAATTAAATTACGCGCAACCCCTGTTATTTGAATAATGACAATTACCCCCTAAATTCTATATTTCTTACGGAAAAAAATTCTTTATTCAATAGGTAAATTAGACACTTTAAGAGTCAACGTGTAAGAGAATACATAATTGAGGGATGGTTGTAATCACCTAAAAAGAGGGGATTTTTTCGTAACTTAACTTACTACTGGCTTTTCGGATACTAACACAGCAAATTTCAAAAACTACATAATCTTAAAAATAGTTTTCATGTTAAAATTCAATCAAAGTTGGCTAATCAAATTCCAATTTTCCAAGGGAATTTGATTAAATTATTATAAGAACATGCATACATGATGCATGGTTCTCCATTAATAAGAATTCCAAATTGACATGCATGCATTATTCTTTCTCCATTCGATTTATTCAGAAGGATAAGGTGATAATGGTGGATATGCCCCCCACCCCCACCCCAATGTTATTGTACATACGTCTTGCGGTGTGCTATCCTACGTTGTAGTGACTGGGAGAGCATGGTTGTGGGCAGTCTACCATGCATTGGACCTTGCTTGGATCAGTTGACACTCCCTTGTCACTGATTATATGACC